TGTCCCCCAGGGGCCTGCAGAAGAGGAGATGAATGTGTAATGTGAATTCTGACTTCAATTTATGGCTTAATTTTAAAATAACTGGAAATAAAACATGAAGAGGAATATCACCCACAGAGAATAGTCTGAACTCTGCTTTCTATCACTTCCCTACAGCTTCCATTTATCTCTGTCAGCACGATGAGCTTTCTGAATATGCCTGTACTACGAGTTACACATTGGGCCAGTCTTGTTCCCAAGGCTGGGCTTGCCCACCATCCATGTCATTTCAAGCCCATACATCTGCAGTCCTCCAGAGCCAGGAGCCTGAGGTCCCAGTGCTTACTCATGGGCCATACACAGCTTACACCGGCACAAAGCCAGATGCAGTGAGGCACAGTCTACCAGAACATAGCCCAAATACAGGGTTTTTCAAGTACGTGTTATTATACTTTTTTTTAATACCTGCGCAGGGGCTTGTTTTTTAAGCCCCTGGCCAGTATCTGGGGGGAGGCAGAAGGGCAGTGAACCAGGTCACAAGGCTTAGACCATTAGGTCTTAGTCCTTGAATTCAGCATGTCTCCATCATCTCCCGTGCCTGCATTACCAGCTCCCTTCAATTTTCTGCTAGTGCTAAAAAACGTAGGTGGGCTGGTGGAGACCGACCATTAGTGTTTTTATCTCCGCATCATCCAGGAGGTTGAAGAGGACAATGTTTTTATTGCTAATGTTCACGTGATTGCGACTCTGTAATTGCTGCCTTCAGTCATGCTGGGGAAGGGGGAAATCTGAGGGAAAATGCTGTTGAAAGAGGTTTGTGTGGTTCAGCTTCTCAGCAGCATGTGTTCCTTGTTACTCAGGTCTGTCACAGGGGAGGGAAGACAATACAAAATAAGAGCTAACTGAAGCTGCTGTTTTCAAATGGAAAGTTAGCATCATGCATTTGTCTCTACTCACACTAGCCATGCTTCATGAGTTTCCTGAAGCAGAATTCACCCCGTCAGCAAAACAGAACATGTGTTAATTTATATCCTTAGGAAGGAAAGCAGTGAATCATTTCTAATGGTTCAGGTGCTCTACTCATAGCACCTAATTAATTCTGACTGGAAAGTTGCAAAAAATTCTCTGAGACAATTTCAAGTATTTATTTCAGCTTTATTATTAAATAAGTTGTAATGAATGAGGAATTGACCTTGTGGTTAAACCACTGGCCTAGGACTGAGGTTCAATTCCTGACTCAGCTCCCTACAAAACCACATCACTTCGCTGGCCCTTGCTGTATGTCTTCCCTCCACTAAACTTTTTAGCAAACCACACGCATGGCCTTGGGAGATGCTCAGCTCTCTGCATGCATCGCCACCATCGAAGGGCCAAACCCTGAAGGGGGGACATGGAAGGGAGGACCGATCTCTGGGGCTTCTTGCTCTTCCTGGGAAAAACCCAGGTCAGACTGCAGACTAGCTCTCAGTGGGGCCATGCACCTGAGCAGGGAGCGAGGCGGAGGAGGCTGACTGCCCTCCAGACCGGAGGTGCCGGAGCCGGCCAGGTCCCCACCACCAGCCCCATCTGTGCTGAGCATGGCAGAGCCAGAACCGCACCGGGAAGATGGTGTTGGGGCCGCAGCAAGCACCGCTGCTCGGTGCCAACAGCCCGCAGTGGGGAGAGGAGGAAAAACCATTGCCAGAGACCTGTGTTAACGAGTCCGAGTAACAAAAGCTGCTTATATCTAAACAAAAGCTTTCTGATAATGCAAAATTAAACTGACAGGAAGCAACACAGATGTTAGAATACAGTCTGACAGATGCTTTAGCATTTGTTTTATGTAAATTTGAACAGGCACCATCCTCTGTGACCAGTTCAATAAGGAACACAGCTCTCATTCCAGCGCAGCAACCTTGTATATGTTTCCTCTACTTTTATTTTCTGCTACATTGACCTCAACTACAAATTTCCCAGCAAAAACACAATAGATGGTTTATGTCACATTACAGGAAATCACAAAAGCCTCTAAAGTGACCCTGATTTTCAGACACTTTTCTAATTTTCTGTCAACCCTTTTTCCCTTCTCATGCCTGCTGTGTAGTTAATATTGGAGCTTTATAACAGGAAAATGTCATTTTTAAGTCACAATAAGGCTTTCTCGCTAAGTCATTTATTTTATCTGAATTATTACAATATAGAGGCCTTTTTTTTTTTGCTTTCTCTTCTATCATTGTAATTTCACTAGTTTACATAGTGATATACACTGATATACAACAGCAGCGCAAGAAGAGAAGGAGATTCACAGCAATCCAAGTCACAATGTTATTTTAGAGACAGCTCCCCTTCTTTTCTCACTTCCTCAGACACCAATCCTGAAATTTTCTGCAAATTGCTATGGGTCAGTTTACTATCATGATTGAACCAAAATCCATGGACCACTGACGTCTGCATACTTCCCAGAAATGCCGCTCTCTGCTCAGTTGTTCTTTGCTATCTGAAAAATGAAAGAGCGTGGCTTGCATTAGAATCAGAAGGAAGAAATGCAGAAGCCAAGTCTTACCAAAGTCACTGTTCTCTCATGCTGAATGAGAAAGAAAAGACATTTTCTGCCATTCCAATTATTTAGTTAATCCCGGTTAGCTTTTCCTGGAACAGATATCTGTGTCGCTATTACTCAATAAATACAAAGCTATTAAAATATTTTCTAAACAAAACTCTTAATGAAAGCACAACTTGGAATAAATGCCCATCTGCAGCACAGCTCTGCCAGAGCTCCCCCACCAGGACATTCGCCACAGTCCCGAGTGTGCTTCCCTGCAGACCCGAGTCCAGAGCTGGCTCCAAATAATCACTTCTGTGTTCAGTGGCACCCACACACATCATTTCATTCCACCCAGAAGGAAAAAGCTTGATCTTTCTTGACAGACCAAAAGCCCAAACTTGAAATGACTCAGTTCTTCATTGAGCACAAAATTAAGTACTTTTGCTTTTGGGGGGAGGGGATTATTTTTTTTAAGCGACCATAGTTAAGTGTAATCTTGAAATAGCAAAAAGAAGTATGTCACTTTTAGAAACTGGCACAGGTCCCTTTTTTCTTCAATTGCCCCAAGATCTCATTTAGTGGAAAAAAATGGAAAAAATAAATTATCTTCCCAAATTTCTCTTGGCCTTTCTCTTCTAAGTTTCCCTTGGTCTCACTAGGTTGCAGCAACAATCAGGTTTATTGTTTCACAGGACATTTCTTAGGCATGTGTTCTTCTTACCACATCACATTTTCATTGATACTACTGCTAACACTCCAATTACATTTTTTTCCCCAGAGCTCTACCCTTTTAGATACTCTGATTTTACAATTCAGGTCTTCAAGAGCATGCAATATTTAAGCAAACAGAAATACAGGCTTTGCAAGACTCCTCAAAAAAAAATTAACTAGCTTAATACACATTTAGAACTAAAAGAAACAATAAATGTTTATATATGTTTTTATGTCTTGATTTTCTCACCATTTCTGCATGTTTTGGAGGGTTTAAATAAGAGCCCTTTCAAGCCCTATCCAAGAACCCCATATCCTCCTCCGTATGGCTTCTCTTTTCAGTCAGAGTCTCTGGGTTTGGGTCTATCCTTTCTGAGACTTTAGTTTCTCTCTCCTTCAGCTGCCCCTGCAGACAAGCCAGACTCCAACTCTGCTCTGGTTAACAGTCATTTATTTTCACCATTCCCTTGAACAATCCTAACCAGTTTCACCAGGTGTTTTTTCTTCTCCAATTTTGTTTTTTAGTTAACCATGTCCTGTCTTTACAGCAGGGTAGTAGCCATCTCTTTGTGCGGTGGTGCTCCACTTGAATACATGAACATCCAAGTTTAACAGCCCTCATGCTGACCCTGATGGGATATAGTAATGTGTATTTTCACAACTAATGGAGACACGATACATTTTCACACATAATAGAGTTCAAATGCTGACATCAAGACACCTCTTGGCCAAACCAAATACCACTGCACAAGACTGACAAGCCAGGGATTAATTTCCAGTATGTCAAGACCACAGGCAGATCCACATGCATGTAAGGTCATGTCCTAGATATGCTTCTGCATGTATAGGTGAGGCAGGAGCCGCCGCTGTAGCCGGATACTTGTCCTTTCGGCGGGCTCCTTTGAGCCAGGGGTCCTGCCAGGGTGCCCAGCCTGGGCAGGGGTGCCCAGGACACCTGGCACCACCAGCAGCCAAGAGGATGCCACCAGGTACAGGTGCTTGAGACACATGTTGAGGAGGTGCTTGGTGGGGGCCAGCTCAGTGAATTCAGCAAAGCCTTACTTTACTGCATCATACAGCATATGAAACTACCATAAGGCAGGCTGCATATATCTTATACAAATTTAAGGACAAAAAACACTTCCTTTAAACGACAGTAAAAGTAAAAGAGAAAACCTGAGTATGGGTTGTGAAAGCAAGTCACAAAAAATCTCTGGCAAATCCCTCTATAGCATACATGCATATCATTTTTAAATCTCAGTTTTACTCATGGTCTATATGCCTGTGCACAAGGAATCCATGACTTCCCTCTTCAGTGTAATATTGTCAGGTATAAAGTGTCACATACAAAAAAACTGCAGTTCACTAAATGGGGAAAAAAGGTTTCTATAAAACAATACGATGCAAAAACACAAAGCTTCTTTTCACATCAGACACCCAAGACAGACACAAGGGAGGACCCACAGGGGACACGCGCCTTCCTGCACCCGCAGTTGAAGACTAACCACGATGTTTTGGGGACAGCAGACTGCAAGTGGCAGATGCCTCAGTGAGGGCAGCTGAATCCCACCCTGAAAGACCATGGCCAAAGCCTAATCCCTCAGGGCTCTTCCATCGGTAG